ATACATGTTGCCATCATTGTGGCTCACAGCTAATGAGTATGAGTGTCATAATCATCGGGTGTGGAATCTGTGCCATCTCCCCTCTCTTCAAACAATGACCGATCAGGTCCAACGAGTACCGCAAGTACAAAGGAAATAAAGAAAACAGAAAGACAAGAGGGTCAACAACAGTTCTTACATCATTTTAAAATCAACATCATAAACATTCACAAGTCAATCAAATTCCAAATGATTGATGTTAATGATGCATGATCCTAATATGTTTTCTAAAATGTTTATGCATGCGGGCCCGAATCATTTCTCAAATCAGTACTAGGGTAGCCAGGAGTTGACACTACTAGGCATGGAAAATTCACCCACAGGATTGTTGAAACCCATACTCAAATATAAACTCAGTAGCTCACTGACCATTGATATACATAAGAGCACAGTCAGGTACATGAGATTTTGTACAGTGGGATCCCCGACAATAGGTAGCGAGCCTGAGTCTTTTGGGGTCTCCGACCACTACCATTCTTATCCTCAAGTCCTCCCTCAGGGCCTCCTTATCGTATTCTCAGAATCCATAATCTCTAATTCTCCAGATTTCACAAATCACCATTTTCAGATGAGTAATGTATGAGTCCCTAAGGGGTTTTTCTTAGAAATTCACATTTTCCCAAAAATTTTGACAGAGTTTCCCCTGTAATACAGACTTTCCAAAAATTTTCAATCACCTGTTACAATGCATAAAACTTCCAATACAATTCAAAAAGAATTCACAACCCATCATCCAATTTTTTTAAATTTAATTTTCAATGAACTTTCTCATGAAAAATCACCATGCATATAAATGCTCATTCAGAGACAATACATATCATAATAGAGTATCAAACATGTATTTTACCCCATCATACACGTAAGCAATTCATGATCACTTTCACAACCAAACATATAATGAAATCAAAATTATCAATCATAATAAATTTAGACAAATTCAACAAATAAGGTCAAACAAGTTTATGATGTAATCCTTACTATGTAGTCCACTCCTTATCTGATACGTCCACATTTATTCCTTTCAAAGCTTGATGTTGTGTTTCAACAAAATCTATATACGTAATAAAATACTAGTTAGAATTTTATATTTCTATGTTTCTATCTCATGATAATTTAAATTTACTTTGTGTTGTTAATCCATTTCTAATAATATTTTAAGCACATTCAACTGACAATTTTCTTAGAAAATTATCCTATTTTATATGCACTTAGAGTATGAAAAATCCTAATAGCAAACATGGACAGAGTTCAGTATTTTGAAATTTCCTAGAGTTATATAAGTTTTTTTGGCATGATATTTGAGCCAAAATTTCAATAACTTAATTACCTACAATATTGATGAAGGAAATAAATTCAAATATCCTATAAAATAGATGCAGTTTTCAGTTTTCAGTGGTTGTTTCCAACTAGGCTCAACTACAATGACACTCTGAACATGCCTTGGTAATTGGATTATAACTCATGCTACACATAAGCTATTAACATGAAACAAATTTATAAATTTCGAAAATTTAATTTCCTACAACTTTTATGAAGGAATCAAGTCCTAATTTCACACATATCAATCTCAGTAATTCAAAAACTGAGGCTGTTGAAACAGGGCTACCTCTTAACGTCACAACTATAACACTTGACAGTAAAATATGTATAACTTGAGCTAAAAATATCTGTTTAATGTGAAACTAGTTTCTAAATTTCGACAACTTAAAGAACTACAACTTTCATGAAGATACTAATTTCTAATTCTGTTCACACAAGTCCCAGAAATTCAATAAAAAGTACCTACGAATTAAGGTTCTTAAAATTTTTAGCTTAACCACTTCTAATCCTCAATTTTAAGCATTATTCTAGTATTCTAGGTGTAAAACCTACAATAACACTCTTCCTACACCCATTCAAGCTCAGCCAAGTGAGGAGAAAAATAGAAAATGCACCGTTTTGAAAAATAAAACGGTAGAAATGTAGAGGAGATTGAGAGAAACAAACTTACCTCTTGGAGTTCCTCAAGAAAACCAAGATTTCTCCCTCAAAATCAAGCTTGAAGGTAAGGAAAGTTTTGAGAGAAAGAAATGAGAAAACTAAGATTGCAGAGAGAAACAAACTTACCTCTTGGAGCTCCTCAAGAAAACCAAGATTTCTCCCTCAAAATCAAGCTTGAAGGTAATGAATGTTTTGAGAGAAAGAAATGAGGAAACTACAGTTGCAGAGAGAAAGACACTCCTTTTTAAAAGTCAAATTTATAATTCATCGGATTAGAGGCCGCAAGTGATAGAGAGATTTCAAACGAACCACAATCCGCTCAGTGGATTAGATTACCAAAAATTTATCTATTATTTTTTCCTTTTTACTCTAGTAAGGATTTGAACCCACAACCCTTAAAATTCAAGTATTACTCCAAACCATATCAACCATTATATGTTTCTTGTCAACTCATGCACATAATAAACTTTTAATGTATTCACACTCAATACATACAAGAAAACAATAATTTCTAAATATGACAATTAAAATTGTTAAATTCATACTCAACGTTCAAGTACACACATGAGATTTTCTAACAATTATAAAATAATAAAAAAATTATAATTGTTTCAATGTACATGCAAGAATTGAACTCATGACCCTCAAATCTTATGACAAGGGTCTAACCAAATGATCTACCCCTCATCTCTACAATATTATTAAATTCTTAATTTAATTACTTCTCTTACTTTCAATTTCTACCATAAATCATATAATTACTATTTGGCGCCTAGTTGCCCGCAAAACGGATCAATTTTAAGTATTTTGCTAAAAATTTCAGAAAATCATAAATAACCTAATAAACATAAAGCTCTACATTCACTTTACCTAATTCCTAATAATTTAATTATTAAAATTTTGACAAAGATTTTGTCAAAATTTAACAAATCAGAGGTACTGAGAATTAGGATGTTACATTTGACTTTCTTGAAAGTATTACTTACTGAAGGTCTTGTAGTGTTTCAACATGTAAGGGTGTATGTCAATTTTTAACCTATTTTCTTGTAAGTTATCCTCAAGTATGAGTCAGTGGGAAGTCTAACAAATATCATGATTGGTGTAAGACCAGACATTGTACAAGCACTAGGAGCAATAAGTAGATTCATAATAAATCTTGGTGGAGAGCATTTGAGTGTTATTAAGAGGATCCTTATCAAAGGAACCTCAGATATTGCATTATGTTTGGATGATCAAAACTAGTTGTAAAAAACTATTTTTATTCAGATTTGTAGGTAATACTAACATATTTATACTTATAGGAGAGAAAATAAGTTTGTTAGCCAAGTTACAAGATATTGTAACTCTATCTACTATAAAAGTTGAGCAAATGACAATAATCTAAACATGTAAGGAAGTTATTTGGATTTAAAGGATAATGGAGAAACTTGAACAAAAGTTGTAGAAAATTGGTGTGTATTGTAATAGTAAGAGGACCTTTCACATTACAAGGAATCTTGTTTTGCATTCTAAGACAAAACAAGAAGAATCTGACTGATGTTATGACAAAGTCGGTTAGTATTGACAAGTTTATATGGGTAGATCCTACTAAGGTCCAACATAAAAATAATGACATAAAAGACAATAATAAAACACGATAAATATTTAATTAATTTAATCAAAATTTTCAAATGAGATATTGTGCACAAAGAAGTTTTACCTCAGAAAAATTATAAATTGATATCTACTTTTCATGTGTTATAAAAATAAATAGTATTTAATTTATAAATCATCGAAAAATCATTTCCTTCCCTTTTTTTAGGCTAGTACATAAATTATATTATTACTTATTATTAGCTTTGTTCATATTTTCTCATATTTTAATTTAATTATAAATTCTTGTGTTGTTAATGTGATTCTTAACAAAATAATTGTTGTGAAAGGTGAACTTTCTCTCTCTATATAATATGTGACTACATGATTAATTTTATCTCCCAATCCTCACTTAAATGGAATATTATGTGATATCACTACAAGAAAAAACGCTATTAGCGACCGACAAAATCGGTCGCTAATAGGCAAAAATCGGTCGCTATTTTGTTAGCAACCGAAATTAGCGACCGAAATGGTTGGTCGCAAAAGGGCAAGTCGCTAATTTGTTAGCGACCGATTTACATTTCGGTCGCTAAATAGCGACCGATGAGGTGGTCGCTAAAGTGGTCGCTAAATAATTTGGTCACTTATGCATTGAAGACCAAAATAGTGACCGAAATAATATAATAAATCGGTCGCTAAATCGGTCGCTAAATCCGTGGTAAAGTTTTAAAAAATAGCGACCGATATATTCGGTCACTAATATATTAATATAATTATTTAAATAATAATTAAAATCGGTCGCTAAATCGGTCGCTAAAATGGAGACAAAGTTAAAAATAATAGCGACGGATATAATCGGTCACTAATATATTAATTGAATTATTTAAATAATAATTTAAATCGATCGCTAAATCGATCGCTAAATTTGAATTGTATATTATAATAAATTTGTAGCGACCAAAAATTCGATCGCTAATCTAACCAAATCTGAAAATTTTCGTTTAAAATTTTGTATATCCAATTTGACAAAATTTGTACATGCTTAATTCATCCAAACATAACACAAATGAAAACTTAAGAACTAAACTCAAATTATTCAAATCATAAAATTTGTACCTGCTTAATTCATCCAAACATAACACAAATGAAAACTTAAGAACTAAAGTCAAATTTTGTATATCCAATTTTACAAAATTTGTACGTGCTTAATTCATCCAAACATAACACAAATGAAACTTAAGAACTTAACAACTACTCAAGATTCAAAGTTTTAATATCATAAAATTGAAAATTAGTCCTCCGGTATATTGTCGGTGTCATATTGACTTGTAGTAGGAATTTTATGAAGGAAGCCAAGATCTATTAATTATTCTATTATAATAATAATCCTAATTAATAATTGAAGGTCATTCTTTGAGGAAGCCAAGATCTGTCGATTCTGGATCAATGAAGGTGTGACTCGGAAATTGCTCAGCTCCTTCATTCTTCAATTCTCCGGCCCATTTCACTCTTTGGGATGGACGAAACCCGATCCAGAACACCTGCACTCTTATCAAATTACTCCAAACTTGTTCAACTCAATAAACAACAATTTTATACACTTTAGACCCTCTTTCACTTTGATGTTTTTATGAAATTATCAACAATTTCTGTTGTCGAGATCCATTGATTTAATGAGTATAAGAAGGCCTTGGTGATGATAACAATACTACGAGAATGAAGTTAGAAATGATTGTCTGTATTCATAGAAGCAAGAAGTTCTTTCATTCTCAACTTTGCCCCAATTATTCCACCCTGCAGGCTTTATACATTGATCCATGAAAGTGAATGCAAAAACCACTCTTGCAAAAGGTCTCCATGGTCTTCCCGGATATGCATATGAAGTTCCCCCATTACCTGTGACAACACATCTGCAATGACACCACAAACAAAACATCATGTAAGGAACCAAAATGTTCACAACATAATAAAAGTACTTTACTTGTGTAGTATCCTTTCTTGGACTCGGAAGTTTAACAGATTAACACACCAAAGAAACACACGTAAAGGGAGAGGAGCAAAATATTGACAAGGAAGCATAGAGTAGTATGAGATTCAAAGATTTTTATTCTAAGATTTCTTACGGGATTCCTGAATTCATTGAATTTTCAAGGGATCATTTCCCTAGCTTCAAGAGAATCTGGTTCTTGTTTTAACCTAGAATGTTTTTTTTCTAATTAAATACTCCTAAATCCGTGTTAGCCATGCTTCTAAACATTTACAAACCAAACTGCAAAACTTAAAAGCAAGATCATCTTCAAAACCAACATTCTCTCATTAGCTTAATCAGTTTTCATAAACATGACTCAATCATGATGATAAACTTCAACCTAGGTACTTACTTGATTTCACATCAGAAGAACTAAGAGAGAACATATTTTGCCTTGGAATTGGAAAACAAAGTAAGAGTCACTAACACTTGTTGTATTGTAGGGGAAACAAGATGATTGGGAAATGTCTCTTTCCTTGTTAAACAAGTTACAATGACTAAAAAAAATATTATGTGGGAAGATGATGTTGTAAGTATTAGGCATGATCACACACCTCGGGAATACATAACCGGTTTTTTCCTGTGTAGAGTTTACGCTCCGTGCGGTTATAAACCACTACGGACTTGCAATGGATGTGACAATGTTCCAAGAGTGCAGTACTATTACCAAAAATGAAGTCCACACTCCCTTCAATGTAACAATCTTTCAAGTATTGCTTTCCATAATGTAAGTACGAGTGTGTCCTGTACTAATAACAAAATAAGTTTATTTATCACCTTGGTACCTCAGATTTTCCTCAAATGAAACAGAAGGATAATGGTGTACAAAACCATCTAGCCTAACAATCATGGCCTCTTGTTAATTGAAGATCTTATTATGTTTACGCAACACACACTATAAAGGATACATCATGCACACATAACTTTCTAAAATCAAACTCAGAATAAAAATATGAAGACACTGAAGCACCTGCCACCCAAGGAACCTGCAATTATAGAAAGCACAACGATCTGCTGTTACTCTGAGTGCCACTGCCTGCCCTGCACCCTGCTAGGTAAAAGAGGGAAACAAAAGAACAGTGTGCACAAGGTCTCTGCTAAAATTCCTTCATATTTTAAACATAACAATGGTGTTCATATTTTAAACAAAACAAAACAAGTTCCCAAATTGGTCTGTCAAGCACCACCAAATCCGCAGTAAGAGGGATCTCGAAGAACCTATCTACTTCACAAATCCACCTACAACAAACCATAAAGAAATTATGTCAAAATTATCTCTCCTATATTATTCACATGCAAGAGAATAACAGTATATACATTCAAATAAGCCAAACCTTGGTTGAGGGTGTCAGAGGCTGTGGAAGAGGTTAAGAACAGAGGTGTGGCGCGGTGGCTCACAGGGTGGCGTCTGGTTGACGAGGAGCTTTGGTGGAGGTTGGATTAGGGTGAGGGCTGACTTGGGGGGAGCAGTGAGGGGGCTAGGGCTCGCCGGGAGTGAGGAGGAGATACTGGCCAAGGTTAAGAGGAATGGGTGAGTCAGGCGCGAGAGTTAGGGTTATTTGGGGATAAGTGGTGCGAGAAATGAAAGTAAAAAATGTGGTAGTATATGATAGCGGTTAAATCTTAACCGCTATTATAATAGCACTTCTAATAGCGGTTAAAATTTAACCGCTATTATATAGCACGTCTAATAGCGGTTAAATCTTAACCGCTATTATATATTTTCAAATATGATCGATCATTTGAAAATGTAATCGATCATAACCAAAAAATGTGGATGTCGCTCGAGCGAGACAGTGTCGCTCAAGCGAAAAACCACCCGAGAAGGCCAATTTTGTGCAGGTGGCGTCGCTCGAGCGAGACCATTGTCGCTCAAGCGAAATACAACCCGAGAATGCCAATTTTGTGCAGGTCGCGTCGCTCGAGCGATCTTATTATCGCTTGAGCGAATGTTGACCTGCGTAAACGTCGATCAAAGTTAGCCGGATAATGTAACATGGGAGACCTCATGTTAGAATCGGATGTCGCTCGAGCGAGTAAAGTGTCGCTCAAGCGAAATACAACCCGAGACTTCACAATATGATAGCGGTTCCACTGGAACTGCTATTACAAACCACTTCTAATAGTGGTTAAACCTTAACCGCTATCTAATATACACTTTAGATAGCGGTTAACGTGGAACCGCTATTATATCCACTCAATTATGATCGATCATTTCAAATTATGATCGATCATAATTAAAACTTACATTAACTATTTTTTTGAATATTATGTTTTTAAATTTGCTATTAGAGAAAACCTTTCAGAATTCAAAATGTTAAATACTTTTAAATATTAAAATTAACTTTATCAAAAATTAGGAAAAAAAATTAATCCAAAAGAGTTCAAAAATATATTATAATATTCTCAATTTTGAGTTTAATTATATTGTTCATTCTCAAAGTAGAAAATTATATTGTAATTATTTTAATTTAATAAAATATAATTTAAATTTTTAATACTCAAATTAAAAGATTAAATAATAATGAATTTAATTCTTTAAATTGAGTATTAAATAATAATGAATTTAATTCTTTAAATTGAGTATTTGGAAACTAAAATTATAGTTTCTCTGTTTTAAATAATTAAGATAAATAGTTAAAAATAGAAATCAAAACTAGTATTATCTTCAATTTATTAAAAGTGTAATTAAATCTCTATTTTCTTAATTTTTTTGTTTCAAACTTCTCAATTCTACATTTTTGTAACTTCTATCATTATATTATCATCCTCATCTCCTCCAATGTTCAACTTTATCTTTACAATAGTTAATATTCTTAAATAATGTATATTTTTAATTATAATTTTTGAATATATATTTTAGAAATTAATCAATTCTAATCTATTATTTGAAAAACTAATTAATTCTAATCAATAATTTAGAAAACTAATCGATTATAATTAATTGTTTGAAAAAATTATCAAATATGATCGATCATTTTGAAGATCTGATCGATCAGAATCTCAAAATCTTGTTGTATATGATAGCGGTTCCACTGGAACCGCTATTAAAAACCACTTCTAATAAGCGGTTAAACCTTAATCGCTATCCAATATGCACTTAAGATAGCGGTTAACGTGGAGCCGCTATTATATCCACTCAATTATGATCGATCATTTCAAATTATGATCGATCATAATTAAAACTTATATTAACTATTTTTTTGAATATTATGTTTTTAAATTTGCTATTAGAGAAAACCTTTCAGAATTCAAAATGTTAAATACTTTTAAATATTAAAATTAACTTTATCAAAAATTAGGAAAAAAAATTAATCCAAAAGAGTTCAAAACTGTATTATAATATTCTCAATTTTGAGTTTAATTATATTGTTCATTCTCAAAGTAGAAAATTATATTGTAATTATTTTAATTTAATAAAATATAATTTAAATTTTTAATACTCAAATTAAAAGATTAAATAATAATGAATTTAATTCTTTAAATTGAGTATTTGGAAACTAAAATTATAGTTTCTCTGTTTTAAATAATTAAGATAAATAGTTAAAAATAGAAATCAAAACTAGTATTATCTTCAATTTATTAAAAGTGTAATTAAATCTCTATTTTCTTAATTTTTTTTGTTTCAAAATTCTCAATTCTACATTTTTGTAACTTCTATCATTATATTATCATCCTCATCTACTCCCATGTTCAACTTTATCTTTACAATAGTCAATATTCTTAAATAATTTATATTTTTAATTATAATTTTTTAGTATATATTTCAGAAATTAATCAATTCTAATCTATTATTTGAAAAACTAATCAATTCTAATCAATAATTTAGAAAACTAATCGATTATAATTAATTATTTGAAAAAATTATCAAATATGATCGATCATTTTGAAAATTTAATCGATCAGAATCAAAAAATCTGGTTGTATATGATAGCGGTTCCACTGGAACCGCTCTTAAAGAGCACTTCTAATAGCGGTTAAACCTTAACCGCTATCTAACTATATTTTATTTATTTATTGATACATTTTTTCATCAGATATCATCGAGACTATATCGTCAGCGAAATCAACGAGAATGCATTTTAGTGCGAGCTTTCGCTCAAGCGAAATACATTAGATAGCGGTCCGAGAATGCTCTTAAGCACTTATAATGCGTTAACCGTAGCGCTAAATTATAGTTTAGATGCGTTACGGAGCGTATCATATCTTCAATTATGATCTGTCATTTCAATTATAATTGATCATAATGAAAACTTACATTAACTATTTTTGAATATTATGTTTTTAAACTTGAGAAAACCTTCGAATTCAAAATGTTAAATACTTTTAAATATTAAAATTAACTTTATCAAAAATTAGGAAAAAAAATTAATCCAAAAGAGTTCAAAAATGTATTATAATATTGTCAATTTTGAGTTTAATTATATTGTTCATTCTCAAAGTAGAAAAATATATTGTAATTATTTTAATTTAATAAAATATAATTTAAATTTTTAATACTAAAATTAAAAGATTTACGTTGCATGAGGTTTCTTCACTTAAAAGATTTTGCAAAATGCCTCTAAAAATGTTTTTAACAATTAAAAACAAAGTATTTTGACAAAAGCTTTCTCAAACAAGTTTTTAAGCGATACAACTTTGATAGAACCGATTAAAATTACTTAAAATGTCAAATGAAATGTTTTTTCAATATTTTAATCGATACAACTTGATTTTAATCGATTAAAACCACTTAAGGGTTCAGGATGATCGATCAGAATGCAATTATGACCGATCAGAATCAGTTATGATCGATCAGAATTTAGTTATGACCGATCAGAACTATTTTAATCGATTAAATCTCGTTTCAATCGATTAAAACAACTTAAAAATTTCTACACAGCGTTTTAATCGATTAAAACTTATTTTTATCGAGTTAAAATAACTTGAAAAGTTTTACAAGAAAGTTTTGCGAGTATTTCAATTGATTGAATCGCGAAACAATCGATTAAATCAACTTAGAAGATTTTTTGTAAAGTGTTTTAATTGATATAAACGTTGTCAGTATCAGTTAAAACAAATCTGTTAAAGAATCAATAACGTATTAATGGATTAAAAGAAGTTTTAACTGATTAAAGCTGCACTTTTAACATATTAAAAGAATCTTTTAACAGATTAATTAAACCAGCGAGTTTTGAAACTCTTCTATAAAAGCAGTTTGGCTTGAACTTTTTTAACATACATTGAATATCATATTTTACACATCCTTGAGCAATCAATCAAGCAAACTTCAACACTCTTTTCAAGAAAGATTCGCATCAGTTTTTGAGAAGTTCTTTGAAAATCTTTCTTGAGGCAACTTGATTTCTTTTGAAGAAGAAACACTTACATGAGAATTGCATAAAGCTGGTTTGAGCATTCTAGTTTCTTCTTTTTCATTTCTTTACATTCTTTTTGTATTGTTTGGTGCCTGGAATTTGGGCACTTGGTTTCTCTCTAGTTGGAATTTGGTTGTAGAGGTTATTAAGAGCTGGAATTTGGTAATACAGAAAACATTTCGGAAAGCAAAATATTAAATACTTTTAAATATTAAAATTGACTTTATAAAAAATTAGGAAAAAAAAATTAATCAAAAAGAGTTCAAAAATGTATTATAATATTTTCAGTTTTAGTTTAATTATATTTTTCATTCTCAAAGTAGAAAAATATATTGTAATATTATTTTAATTTAATAAAATATCATTTAAATTTTTAATACTAAAATTAAAAGATTAAATAATAATAAATTTAATTCTTTAAATTTAGTATTTAGAAACTAAAATTATAGTTTCTCTGTTTTAAAAAATTAAAATAAATATTTAAAAATAAAAATCAAAACTATTATTATGTTAAATTTATTAAAAGTATAATTAAATCTCTATTTTCTTCAATTTTTTAATATAAATTTTTAAAATATAATTTAATTTCAATTGAAATTTTCAATTGAAAAATAAATTCAAGAATATTTGTTATTAAACTTTTCTTAAATAATGTATTGAATAGTTAACATCACTCTAGTCTTAATTTATTACAATTTAAATTTTTAATAAATTTGATTTATTACAATTCATTTTGTTAATATTGAGACCAAAGTTTATTTTTAAAGTATATTTTAAAAATTAAAATATTTTTAAAAAATAAATTACTTTTAAAAAATAAATTGTAAAAAATATACTAAAACAATTAAAGTATATTTATAAAAAAAATTAAATATAATAAAAAAATAATATTCATTAGTGACCGATTTCAATTCGGTCAGCTATTTTCTCATTAGCGACCGATTTTAATTCGGTCACTATTTCAATTTGTAATTCGGTCGCTAAATCAGTCGCTAAATGATTTTTTTATTTTAGTATGAAAATAGCCACCGATTTAGCGACCGAAATTTTGCGACGCAAAATATTGGTCGTTATTTCGGTCGCTAAATAAAAAAGTGCAAAATAAATCATATTTTGGTCGCTAAATCGGTCGCTAATTGCAACCGAATTAAAGTGGTCGCTGAATCGGTCGCTAATTGCGACCGAATTAAAGTGGTCGCTAAATCGGTCGCTAATTGCGACCGAAAAAATTCGGTCGTTAATTTCGGTGGCTAAATGTGTTTTTTCTTGTAGTGTATATTGTATCATAAATACTACAAAATTAGGTTCAATTACACAATATGTAACAACAAATTTATAAAATATGATCATTTTCTTTGCTTGAAAAATAAGAGTAAAGGGTGACTCTCATCCTTCCCTCTAAATCTTCATCTAACATTTTTAAACACAACAAGTCATACACGACATTCATAGTTAACGTAACCATTTCAAAAATTAAATTTATATTAACTCATTAATTTAAGCGAGCTTTCAAACAAAATTTCAATAATACAACGCTTATATTATATCAACATAAAACAACTAATTCAGTAATATTAATTATAGAAATTCATTTAAGTATAGATAATTTAGATCTTATAAAAAACCCTTAATTTTGGAGTATTGTTGTTGATAAAAAAAACAAAACAAAACTATTTCACTCAATCAATTAAGAGTGGATTTGATTTGTTAAGTGAAATTGGACTTCATTAAGCGAATTTGATAGGATACCTTAAAAAAACTTGAAAATGTCAATTTGTTGAGAAAAATAAGAAGTAAAATTATCATGAAAGTTCTTTTTATTTATAGTAAGGTTTTTCTACCCAATAAAATAATTTATAAACTCAAAATTTTGAAATAATACATCAATCATTTCGGTCAAAGTACATTAAAGTTAAGATTATATAATAAAATCACAAAGTTTAAGATCAATTAAGATTAATTATTTGCAATTATTAAGATTATTAAATTTATTTTAATATCAATTCTTATGAAATCTTCAATTAGATATTTATTTTTCTAAAATTCTAATTAATCAAATATTGTAATTAAGTTAATAATAAACATATAGTCTAATAACTCGACCATATATTTTGCAATATATCTAATATATTATTTAATTATAATATCATTATTAGATTTAATATGAATTATTGTCAATCAAATGTTACAAAAATCTATGTAACTCATTTTATCTCACTCTCTTCAAATTTATAATTTTTTTTCTCATTATTCTTATTCATATATTAATTTGAACGTGGAAATGTCATTAATATATGAATCTCTATTTAAGCTTATTTTTCATTGTTTTCAACGTGTTTTAGTTATATTGTAATAGAAGAATCATCCTATTAAAGACTTTAGTGTAAAGACCATCATGTGATCCTCTATTTCACCTTAACAATGTTAAGACGAACATTTTTGAGGAAATAATTGAATGTTATACAAAATATATGTTAAAAGCATAAGTTATGTGGGTTTTAAAATCTCAACATGAAGGTAGGTACAAAGATATTCTAGAGGGTTACACTAAAGGGGTAGCATGTATTTTTAAACAATTTTGATTCCTTATATTCTTATTATAATTATATAAATATTTACATTATCCATAAGACAACTAATTAAGAGATTTTTTTGATGGTAGGAAATATGTAAAAAGTGACCACTATTTGTCCGTATAACATGATTGGCGGTGAGCACAAGACCTTCTGGGTCGAAATTTTTTTATTTTGACTCCAAAGCAGCAGGAGAGAAAAGAAAATTACAGCGGTAAGAATTGGAAGAAATGAGACCCAGTTTTTATGAGTCCTCTAAGCTCTACAAGGAAAAGATGAAAGCTTATCATCACAAGAAAATTCTCAAGAAAGAATTTTATCTAGGCCAATCAATATTAATGTTTAATTCCAGATTAAGGCTATTTCCTGGAAAACTCAAATCAAGATGGTTAAGACCGTTTCTCGTCAAGGGTGTTAATCCTTGTGGAGCTATTGAGTTAGAAGATCTGAATAAAAAAAGAAGCTGAGTTGTAAATGGACAACGATTGAAGCATTATTCTGGTGGTGAGGTTGAGAGACTTACAATCATCCAATTGGACGAAACATAATGATACAGCGTCACACTCGTCACGTTAAACAAGCGCTTATTGGAGGCCACCCATAGTCTATATTAAGTTTATACATTTTGCTTTTACCTTGTTTGTTAAATGCGTTTGTCTTTCCATTTTGTGTTGTGTGAAAAATGTGCCCTCTGGCGCTTTTTTGCTTAAGCAAGATTAGTCTCGCCTGGGCGAGAGTTTTTATTAAAAAAAAAAATAGTAATAATAATAAAATATTTTAACCTTAGCGAAACCAAGCGACACCTGTTAAATTTCAAAACTGAGGAAAACGTTTTCACACTCTCTCTCCCCTTCCACACACTCGAGCACAGTGCACTTTGCTTTGCATTCATCACACTCTTCTCTACATTCGCTCTGCAATCTCTTTCTTCTTTAGTTCATTCCCTTTCGAGGTAAGTTCTCCTTCACTGGTCGTCATGTGTTTGGTCGGTTATTTGAACTTCTAAATGTTATAGCATGTACCCTTGGAAATGGTTACGGAGTTAGGGCAACTGACTTTGGACATTTTTGTTGATAACTTTGATTTTTGCAGGAAAATGCCCATAATAAAGACTTTAGCTCAACGTCCTCTTATGAAATCCAACAAGGGAAATAGGAAAAGAACCTCTAGTCCCCCGCCTGAAAGAGCCACGAGTCCCTCACCTGATAAACCAAATAAAAACTTATCTAGAGACCTCAAAAGGCAGTTGCGGTATGAAGAGTTAAAGCATTGGTATTTTATCACAGAAAGGAAGGTGGCACTGCTTCCAGGGGAATATGATCCCCTCTTGATGGGCCTTATCAGAATAAACTGGATGAGATTAGTTAACCCACTGTCCAAGTTTGATCTAGAGATTGTCATACAATTTTATGCGAATGCCTATCCCTCAAATGGCCCTGGAGACAAGCGGCCTAAGGTAAAAGGCCAGTGGGTAAACTATGACAGAACTGCAATAAGTGAATTCTTAGGAGATCCATTGGCATTAGAAGAAGGCCAACAATGTGATTATACCAGGCTGCAGATAAGTCAGGAAACCGTTGGCGCTAGACGGAGGGCCATTCATGAAAGGAGAGTTGCAAACTTACTCTGCATTCTTAATAGGTCATTTCAGCTTGGAGATTTGGCACTCCTCGCAGAAACCGTCGTACTGATATGACGACGTTAGCCCAAGTCTGAATGACATTCTTACTGTCCAATATAGTGCCCCTTGGCCATGTGTCTGACTGGAACATGCCAAGATGCAATATGCTCTATTGTTTAATGAGAGAAAATTTTACTATTGACGTGGCCAGCATTATCTCCGAAGAAATTCACCGATTTGTGAATTATGAGATAAACAAAAACAATCAGAAGCATAAAGGAGTTTTGGGCTTCCCACCTTTAATCACAACACTCTGCCAAGCCCAAGGGGTCGAGGTTGAATTAACTTCGAAGATTCGACCTTTCATTACAAGCAAATTCATTGACCACTTTTGCACCAACTCAGCAGATCGGGTGCAGCAAGAAGGGCCACAGGTGGAGCCACCAGCAGCTGCAGAACAACAAGCAAATCCCGCACAACAACCTCAACCCAAAATCAATGATGAATTACTCGAGCACATGAAGCATTTGAGGTTGCAATTGGAGCACTCCCGCCTACAACACATCTCCATTCATAGAGGATAACTCCACCTTCATGAGTACATCTTACCAACGTGTGCATTCCCTTACGTTCTTGATTCATTATAGAAAACTACTCTACAAGATTTTTAGATTATTGATTTTCACAATTTAACCAACATCAATACATGAATCATAGTAAGAAGACTAACCTTGATCCATGAGAATCTTTTTTTCTTTATTTTCGTTCTCCAATCTGCTTTTCCCAATCTATCTCTTTGTCTTTCTTTCTCTTCTCACGCTTTGCTTTCTTGATGGTTTATCGTGAAAAAACCTTATGGTCAGAGACAGAACCCTAATCCCTTTTATTAACCAACGTCCATCAAGTTGGTTACCGTAAGTTAATATTTTATTTTATCTTTATTTTATTCTCACTTCATATAATAACCAATAGGTCCTTATAATTTATTAAATCACATTTGGGCCTATCATTATATTTCATATGAGTCACATAATGGAATGAATTAATTAAATTAATTATAACATTCTCCCACTTGACTCATGTGATGTCATACGATTCTGTGATTTAATACTTAAGTCATAATGCGCATTAAAGGATCTTACATAAATTGGTTCTATCATTATTCATAATTAAAGATACAGCTATAACAAGAGTCATGGCGGTTACATGTCATTCAATCGACAGGCTCCCTTCCATGTACCACTATATTATCTCTTTCTCCTTAATATGACTTTATAATAAGAAGTTCATAATGAGTTCAAACATAATATCATTTTAAAATAATAACATAATTTGTTTTCTTCATCATAATTTGCATGCATATAAATAAAGAAGAAAACACAAATTTCAGAAACTTATACGTTAAAGATCTCAGAGTGTCACATAAACATTAATAATAACATTAACATTCAACATTCACTACTAGTAAACATAATGCCCATATTTACTATATGGCCAACAAACAACTTGGGCGGTAATCCCTTTGTTAAAGGATCAGCAATCATAAGATCAGTGTTAATATGTTCTATTGACACTCTCTGTTTCTGAACTTCTTCTTTAACGGCAAAATATTTCAATTCCATATGCTTAGCACCTTTGGAATACTTGTTGTTCTTAGAAAAGAAGACTGCTGCGGAATTGTCACAATAAATTTTTAGCGGCTTGGCAATGTTGTCGACTACTCCAAGTCCTGAAATAAAATTTCGCAACCAATTAGCTTGAACTGTGGCCTCAAAGCATGCCACAAATTCAACTTCCATGGTGGATGCAACAATGACAGACTGCTTCGCACTTTTCCATGAAATCGCTCCTCCGGCTAAAAGATACACATAACCAAATGTAGACTTTCGTGTATCCATACAACCAGCAAAATCTGAATCTGTATATCCAATCACCTCAAGGTGATCAACTTTCCTATAAGTAAGCATGTGATTCTTTGTTCCTTGTAAGTATCTTAAAACTTTCTTTGCAGTCTTCCAATGATCCAGTCCAGGATTACTCTGGTATCTACCAAGCATACCAACTGCAAAGCTAATATCTGGCCTCGTACATGTTTGAGCATATATCAAACTCCCAACAACGAGATGCATAAGGGATATTTTCCATTCTGTTTCCGTTCCAAGTCATTCTTTGGACATTGCATGAGACTAAATTTGTCTCCTTTACGTATTGGAACCGGAGATGCAGAACAATTCTCCATTACGAATCTCTCTAAAACTTTATTAATATATGCTTTCTGAGACAAACCTAACAGTCCTTGTGATCTATCACGGAATATTTCTATTCCTATCACATAGTATGCCTCACCCATATATTTCATTTCAAAGTTATTAGAGAGAAAATTCTTAGTCTCACTTAATAGACCAAGATCCACTACAAGAAAAAAATGTTATTAGCGACCGAAAAAATCGGTCGCTAATGGCCAAAAATCGATCGTTATTATGTTAGCGACCGAAATGGTTGGGCGCAAAAGGGCAAGTCGCTAATTTGTTAGCGACCGATTTACATTTCGGTCGCTAAATAGCGACCGATGAGGTGGTCGCTAAATAATTTGGTCACTTATTCATTGAAGACCAAAATAGCGACCGAAAATAATATAATAAATCGGTCGCTAAATCCAGTGGTAAAGTTTTAAAAAATAGCGACCGATATATTCGGTCGCTAATATATTAATATAATTATTTAAATAATAATTAAAATCGGTCGCTAAATTGGAGACAAAGTTAAAAATAATAGCGACGGATATAATCGGTTGCTAATATATTAATTGAATTATTTAAATAATAATTTAAATTGGTCGCTAAATCGGTCGCTAAATTTGAATTGTATATTATAATAAATTTGTAGCGACCAAAAATTCGATCGCTAATCTAACCAAATCTGAAAATTTTTGTTTAAAATTTTGTATATCCAATTTGACAAAATTTGTACCTGCTTAATTCATCCAAACATAACACAAATGAAAACTTAAGAACTAAAGTCAAATTATTCAAATCATAAAATTTGTACCTGCTTAATTCATCCAAACATAACACAAATGTAAACTTAAGAACTAAAGTCAAATTTTGTATATCCAATTTTACAAAATTTGTACCTGCTTAATTCATCCAAACATAACACAAATGAAACTTAAGAACTTAACAACTACTCAAGATTCAAAGTCTTAATATCATAAAATTGAAAATTAGTCCTCTGGTATATTGTCAGTGTCATGTTGACTTGTAGTAGGATGACTATTCATTTGAATATGTTGTAAAATAAGCTTCATCTGCTCATCTTGTTGGCGTTGGTTGTTCCTCAACTCCTGCATCTCTTCTTGAAGTGTCTTCTCCTTATTATGCTTTGCTACCAATTCAGCATTTAACTTTTCAATAGTCTCACGCATTTGTTCAATTTGATGAAGTACTGGAGTTTGAGTAATAGAAGATTGAGAACCTGATGTAGTAGTGAACTTTTTGCTCAATGTACCAAGTCCATACACATTTCCTTTTTTATTTTCACCTCCAACAACTGAAATGTATATTTGATTATCATCAACAGAGACAATAGGAGACTCTTGTGAAGATGAGCCTTCACACAAGTTATGTTGATGGACTTCTTCTCTGCGCTGCATATATTGTTCCTAAAAATGAAGTGAAATATAATTATTATGAAGAAAACATATATTGAATAATAAACTATAACTTAGATGTTAAACATACAGCAAGATAACGAGTTTTTTCATTAGCCCATTGTCCAGTCTTTAATTTCTTTGTCCTCTCAACAACCTCCCAAACGGTTGGTTCTCGTTGAAACTCCGTAGTCTACACATTAAAATGAGACAAAATTCATTTGTCCTTTCAACAACCTCCCAATCAGCATAAGTGAAACTGCATTATTCACTTTATGTGATGCACTACTTATGTTTTTCTATTCTTGCAAATTAACTACAACAATCAGCATAAGTGAAACTGCATTATTCACTTCATGTGATGCAGTACTTACGTTTTTCTAATACATTTTTTCCAAGGTATTTATCCACTACTTATGCAGTACGTATGATACAGAGCACCAAATAATTGTATAAGTAAACCCAATAATTATGAAATCTCTTTTCACTAAGATCCAACAGATAATTAAAACAAATTACAAATGGTTAACCTGAGGGCGTACAGTCTCAACAAGTTCCCAAATTGGTCTGTCAAGCACCACCAAATCCGCAGTAAGAGGGATCGAAGAACCTATCTACTTCACAAATCCACCTACAACAAACGATAAAGAAATTCTGTCAAAATTATCTCTCCTATATTATTCACAATGCAAGAGAATAATAGTATATACATTCAAACAAGCCAAACCTTGGTTGAGGGTGTCAGAGGCTGCGGAGGAGGTTAAGAACAGAGGTGTGGCGCGGTGGCTCACAGGGTGGCGTCCGGTTGACGAGGAGCTTTGGTGGAGGTTGGATTAGGGTGAGGGCTGACTTGGGGGGAGCAGTGAGGGGGCTAGGGCTCGCCGGGAGTGAGGAGGAGATAGTGGCCAAGGTTAAGAGGAATGGGTGAGTGAGGCGCGAGAGTTAGGGTTATTTGGGGATAAGTGGCACGAGATACGACAGTGAAAAATGTGGTAGTATATGATAGCGGTTAAATCTTAACCGCTATTATAATAGCACTTCTAATAGCGGTTACATCTTAACCGCTATTATATAGCACTTCTAATAGCGGTTAAATCTTAACCGCTATTATATATTTTCAAATATGATCGATCATTTGAAAATGTAATCGATCATAATAAAAAAATGTGGATGTCGCTCGAACGAGATCAGTGTCGCTCAAGCGAAAAACAATCCAAGAATGCCAATTTTGTGCAGGTGGCGTCGCTCGAGCGAGACCAGTGTCGCTCAAGCGAAATACAACCCGAGAATGCCAATTTTGTGCAGGTGGCGTCGCTCGAGCGATGTTATTTTCGCTTTAGTGAATGTTGACCTGCGTAACCGTCGATCAAAGTTAGCCGGATAATGTAACATGGGTGACCTCATGTTTGAATCGGATGTCGCTCGA